TCTTACAATACTTGGTTATGTATTCAAGATGGACAGTGATTAATATTTATGTTATTTATATGTAAGGATGAAAGTTTATACATATGTTGTATATAGCATATTTAAATGTGTGTTATGTATGTGTGCACTTTTGAGAGCAAGCAACTAAATTTCATTTTTAATGTGTGCTCACAGTAAAAAATGACAAAGGTTTATCTAATATATCTAATCTCTTCCTACTGATCTTATTGGCTGGATTTGTTGAAAACTGAGGTGCAGCAAGTTCTGTTGGGGTTACTTAACATATAAAATGTATTGGCTGGGATATATCTCCTTTTTCTCACATCTATTCTCCCATTCTCTGCCTACTAAACATGCTGCCTTTATTGGCTATTTTGAATATGATGGACTCGACCATTGGATGTATTCAAGCAGAGTCTTGATAGATATCTATCTGGGATGCTTCTGCACTAAGCAGAAGATTAGTACCAGCAGTTTAAATGGCCTATGATTCTCCTTCAGTTTCTATGGGTGATCCTCATTTCTATTGTGGGGGAGTGGTTTTTAAAATTTAAAAACTAATATTAAGACCTGGTGATAGTTTTTTTTTCTGTTGCATGTATCTGTCCTCCTCCCTCCCTCATATGCTGACTTTTCCATTCATTTTCTTCTCTCCACCTGCTCAATTGTTAGATTTACCCCTGAGCCTTACAGCAGTTTAACAATTATTGTGGATCCACTGAATAATGTGTACTTCATTTCTAAAATATCTCAGGTTTTTTGTTTCTGTAACTCTAATGGTGATATGAAGTCTGTTCATGCTTTGACTGTGCAAATACAAGATAACTTGGATCAAAAATAAAAATAGGTATTTAACGAAAATGTTGGTGTGCATAAAATGGGGAAAATGGTTTTTGAATCTGGAACAAATTTTCACATTTCACGGGTTCTATTGAACCATTTCAGATCCGACACGATTCTGTAAAACCCCAAACTCAAAATGTTTCAGATTTTATATGAAAAAATCTGAATAAGGAAAAAGGGCAAAGCTGGCACATAGTGTCCTTGCATTCCTTTCCATTCCTCGTGCAGAATAGTTACCAGTCTGCCTTCTTCCTTAGCATTTTTCTTCTCTACCCACAGTCACCGTTGTTAATATCAGTGATACCCTTCAGCCAGCAAGGATGCCAAATATCCCAGAATCTTCCCTCCTCTGTCCTCCACTACTGTCCCAATACACCCCCATCTTCCTCCCATTAGCCACTGCCTGTTCAATAAGGATAGCTCTTCCCTTCCCACCTTCTGATTGCCTTCTATCCTTCAGTCATGAATGTCCCAATACATACCTTATTAGCCTGCTCACCCTTCTCCCAATTTTCCTTTTCCTTTCTTCCTCTTGGTTCCCCATAACAACTGAGGACATTGGTTCCCCTTTGCCCTTCCCCAGCCACGTCTCTTAGACTAAAAAATTCGACTAGAGGAATGTTTAATAAAATCAGTAGGATTGTTCTTTAAATTCTTAACCCAAATATATTGGTATTTGAGCTTTACTTTGCCTGATAAAACAAGATTCATATATATTTACTAATAACAGATTTTCCATCAAATTGTGGCAAGGAGAGACAAGAGAAGGGATTTTCTTGTTTTGTATCAACTTTTTAAAATTGCAAAAGTAAAGCAGTTTTGTAAAAGTAGATATAATCCAGTCCTAAATTATTAGGTTTTGGTTTCCCTGCCTCCGTTCCTCTACCAAGAAAGCAGAACTCTTGAAACTGGCATTTCAAAAGGAACTTTTATTGGCAGATACAGAATGCAGGAAAGCTAGGCAGGATCCAAGGGCTTCTTGCCCAAATCAATAGGTTAAACCCACGAAGTAATAACCCCACCCCAACTGTCCATCCGATCAGTTCAAACAGGCCAATCCACAGGTGCCATCGAGCTGTGGGAATTTGGGCTGATAAGACCCCTCTCTCAAAGTTGTTAGGTCTTCTCTGGTTCCTCCTCCTGTGCCTAGGCAGATGGCCCGAGGCATTCCTTTCACACCCCATAGTGAAGACATCAAAGCAAATAGAGGAAATGTACTACATGCACTACAAGCCCCTGATCTCACTCCCTCTCCCCCAAGAGAATAGAACCTGAACAGTGGAAGCCCAGAGAATACGAATGATTAATAACCAGTAATTAATAATGGAGGGTTCTGACAGGTTCAGTTGATTCTATATGAGCTTCCACTTAATGTCCATTGAAACATTACATCATCGTTATTATTATACCTCATCTTTGTTTTCTACAAATCAAGGCAATGTGCATAACGCTCTTACCTTTTTTCCTCACAGCAATGTTGTTGTGGGTTGTGCTGAAAGAATCACCTTTTATGCCTAAGGAAGGACTAGAATTCACAAGCTTCTGGTTTCTAATCCAGCATCTTTAATCCATCAGCTTGGCTCTCAGTCTAAAAGGGGATATAAATTTTATCCTTTCTTGGCAGAACTGCACGCATATATAAATGTATATACTGACTTGCTTTTTCATTTCTTTAGGTAGTCAAACCACATACACCACTGATTAAGTTTCCAGACAGAAAAAGTACTCTAAAATCTAAAAGTAAGTATGTCTTTACTAAGTGCACATGGTGCCATGCCATGTCTTGCCATAATTTATGCTCAAGAAATTTAAATTGCAATTCATTGTTTATAATTCACATTATAGGTTAGCATGATATGTGAACCCAATATAATGTTTTCTAACTATAACCCCTAATTTATAACAGTATTGCTCTGTGAGGGAGATGGGCAGTTTGGTCTTGTGCAGAGGTAGGCAATCTCGGCTCTTTTATTAGACTCATGGACTTCAACTCCCAGAATTCCTGAGTCAGCATAGCTGACTCAGGAATTCTGTGAGTTGAAGTCCATGAGTCATAAAAGAGCCGAGATTGCCTACCCCTGGTCTATTGGTTAAGGCACAGGGCTAGAAAGCAAGAGACCATTAGTTCAAGTCCCACCTTAGTTATGAAAGCCAGCTGGGTGACCTTGGGCCAGTTACTCTCTTAGCCCAACTCACCTCACAGGATTATTGTTATGGGGAAAAGAGGAGGAAGATGTGTTGGATATGTTCGCTGCCTGAATTATTTGTAAAAATTGTAAAAGTGGGAAATAAAAAAATAAAAATTTGATATATAAAATATTTTTTCACATCACTAAGATGCTGACAGTATTCACTGTTATGCACAAATGTAACTGTTTCTTCTGGGTACTTCTAAGCTTTAATTAGAGTCTCACTCTCAGTTAATTCTTTTTTGAATTAACCATTTAACTTCAGTGGTTTACATGATGTGTATACGCCAACCTTCCTTAATCCTTGACTCTCCATATGTGCTAGATTACAATCCTCTTATCATATCTGCATGACCAATGATCAAGACCAGATTGACATTGTCAGCCCATTGAGGTAGGCCAGATCAGGAAACTCTATTGAGCCTTTGAGGTAGCTGCAGTGTTTTGCTGCAATAGACCAACATGGTTAGTCATGATGTAGGGCATCCAGAGTTTTTTTGCTAATATAATTTAGTTTCTTATTGTTCCAGTGCAAGAGTCTCTACATTCAAGAGTGCCTCCGCTTCATGGGACAGCCTCACAATTTTCTGCAGAAAACAAAGCACCATCTTTTCAAAATACTTTATTTACTGGTAGAACACAAGGTATACCTGACACAGCAGAATTAATAAGAACTTTACCTCAGAAATTCAGGAGGAAACCCATGTCAGTTGAAGAGATGGAATACATTCAAGTAAGTTCTCATTTTTTTAAAATTAAAATATTAGTGTTCTTTTCAAAGCCTTACTTTTTTAAAAAAATCAAATGATTAAATAAAAATTTAGACTATGTGTGGTTTGCTTTTTGTGATGAGAAACCAGTTCTTTAGGTGTGTATGGTGCTATAGAAGCAGGACAATAAAATCATAGAAGGTTGAAACTAGACTTTAGTCATACTAATATTTAGCATTGTATTGGTTTTATTTCACACTATGGATTTCTAATGATTAGCTGATGAATTTCAGTTGGAATAATCTCTAGATCCTCCCAAAAAAATATTAAGAGGCTTGATTTAAACCAGGAATGGACTGCCTATTGCAAAACAAAGTCCTTGTCAATATGAATCCATCTTTTCAGCACCATAATATGGTTTAAACAATTAAAAATTCTAACTCTCTCAATAGCATATCAGCCAAACTGAAACCACAGATGAAGAACCAAATAAATTCAGTGGAAAAATACCGTATATACTCGAGTATAAGCCGAGTTTTTCAGCCCATTTTTGGGGCTGAAAAATGCCCCCCTCGGCTTATACTCGAGGCGGCGGCGGCGC